TATGTATATATGTGTATGTATACATATGAATATATATATAATGACAAATAAAAAATTGTTTTTAATAAATTTAATCCAGACTCCTATCTCTCTTCACATATTTATATAGAACGATATAGAATAAGATTAAATAATAATAATTATTAACTAATGTATTATAAAAATATAAGAAATTAATAATGGCAATTCTAATTCATTAACATAACACAAAACGAAGGATACTGTAAACGTTTTTACCAACTTTTTAACGTTTTAACCAACATATAAAATTTATCATGCTTGCATTAAATATTATTAAATATACGACAAAAAAGAATGATCATATACTTATTCCAATATACGTCTATTTATAAATAGCATTTATTATTTTCATACTTATAAAAAACTATATGAACGTCAATAATTTCAAAATTGTTAATTTCAAATTCTGCCAATTTTAACATAAAACCACAAACTTTTTTTTTTCTTTTTTTTTAGTAATAACTCATAAAATCTGTTCCATAAAGTTTTAATCGCTTAAGAAAATGCTTAATCATAAGGTAATAATTTATAGAGATTTGTTTGATATTCGCGACAAATATTTCAAAATGCGTTAAGATCTCAGTCGAAGTTATTAAAGTGTATAATATTATAAAAATGGATGTATATATTAACAAAAATATATATATCTATAAATATAAGTCTATTATGGCGACAAAATTGTCGATAAATCTTGACACATAATGACCAGAAGATATTGAATTTTGATCACGATATATTCCTCTATCTCTTTTCTCTACTTATATAAATTATTATATTAAATAATATATTAAGAGAATAATACCATGACACTGCAAAAAGACAAAAACAAAAAAAGAAGAAATGAATTATTCTAAATTAACTTCAAGATTTTTGGGTCAACGTATATAAAAAGAGTATGTAAATTAATCATAATTTAAATATACCTAGACAATAACTGGATTGCTATCTTTTAATAGCTGAAGACATGCATTTATTTCTTCACAGTCTTTTGCCATGGCCTCCAATCTAAAAAGAAGAAAAAGAAACAGTAATAACAAGAGTAGTAATAAACAATAATACGCAAGAAAATAAAAAAGATAATACTTTTAATTACTCTTACCTCTCTCTGTACAAATTCAACATAGGTAAATTGAAACGTCCTTCCATTAACGCACGACTACACAATATGGCTAAATTTTTGAAACATTTACAAGTAGTATTATCTAAACCCTGACTTTCCCATTCAGGTAATTCTTTAATTATATTCCATGCTGCAAAAACATATTGCATCAGAGATGACCAATGTTGCGAGTCTAGAAGTATTCTCCCTTGATCAATTACTGCTTTCTATATAGATATAAAAATAATAAATTTAATCTAACAAACTCTAATGCATATGAAAAATTATTTTATCATATTTTGAAAAAGTCAAATTTTAACCGTACTTGAAATGCTTCTAAATGTATGTATGCGCGACTATATGCGCAGTCATCTGTATTAGAGGAAACAAGACTAGCAAAAACATTTTGCCTCAAATTACAAAGTTTTTCTCTCAGCGGTTGTATATCCGCCATTGGTATTTTGTTCATAAAGATATCCCTTAATTTGTCATCTCCTCGTAAGGTACCACTTTCTTGCATAGATATTACATCTGTAATAAGTTTAACCAACTGATCATGGCTAAGACCTCGTAATCCATTTACTAAATTTCCATTGAACTTTTTTTGTACTGAAGTATTAATTAGGTTTGTGGATTTCGAAGGTGTTCTCTTCTTTTTTTCTGATAAACTAAATCTAGTCTCATCGCCAAGAGATAATCTCTTTCTAGGTGTACTTTTCAATAACATGGTGGCCTTTATTGGACTCTTTACTGGAGTTCGATCCTTGGAACTTAAACTAAAGTAAAAAAAGGACAAAATATTCACTCATTCATTTGTTTTATATCTTCAATACTTTAAGAACAATTTAAAAAAACAAGAACCAACCTTAATAAGCTGTCACGCTTACAGGCATCCAGATCTGGTGACCAGACAATAGTCCTTCGTCGTCTTCCTCGTTTCTGAATAACAAGTTCGTCAGGACTAGGAGCTGGACTACAAGAATCTGAAGTGTGTCGACTATTAATTACATTGTCCATATTATTTTGCTCAATCGAAAGTACTTCACCTATAAAATATGAAAGAACCTAATATAACCCTTTCATGGATGTAATTTATACATAAATCAATATGATTTAATTTTATAATGATTTTTACCAAATGACAAAATAGTGAATGATATTTGATAAAACTGATTAACAAAAATACAATACACATATACAGTACAGCAGATATATATATATATATGTAATATGCAACTTTTACATTTTACAATTAACACAAGTATGATTAAACATAAATATTGTAAATAATATTATAGATACCTGGTGAAAGTGTCATACCAGGGATATTAGGAATAACAGCTAAAGCTTGACGTGCAGATCTTCTACGTGAACCGTCTGGTCTTCTTAAAAATTCTCTGGTTGGAGTGTTCATCATGCATCAAAAAGATGCAATTAAATATTCGTTTTTAAAAAACTCTTCTAAAATTTAACAAGAGAAAGTTTTTCTTTTTTTGTTTTTATTATTATTATTATTATTATTATTATTATTATTATTATTATTATTACTATTACTATTATTATTATTATTATTATTATTATTAATCTTCCATTTGATTCATTACCAACCCACCATATAAATTGTACTCATTCTATACACAACACTTTCCCGATTGTTTCTTTCACAAAGCCAACAATATTCTTCTTTTTTTTTTAAATATTATGTTAATATAGATTTTCCTTATCATAACGTGAAAAATAATGTAAAATATAATGCAATAAATTAAAATGTTCACTTTTATAAGTTTAAAATAGTTGTAAAAATGTTTCCAAACTTATTCTTCGCAATACCGAAAAATCACGTTAGAGCTCCAAGAAAAATGGCGGGAGATTCACAGATTCATGCTTACTAACCTCTTAATATTAATAAAATGTGACGTCGTAGAAACTGTAAATTGTATCAACACAATCGGACAATTCTGACAATCTTATTCAAAATAAAATAAAGAAAACTGCCATTCTTTTAAATTTTATCGCTTCCCTTTCTTTATAAACATTATAAGATTATATCGAAAATTCAATTTTGAATCAGGAAAGTATAAATGTCAAGAAGGTTTTCATTGACTTATACACAGTTACTTATGGCAGGTTTTAAAGTAATTTCTTTTAAATTGAATAATTTCTATAGTTATCAGGATAACACAATTTTGTGTAACTATAATGACCAAATGACAAGAATCCACCAGTGCGATGAGAATGGGATTTAATGACAATTATTATCTTTTTTCTACCATTTTCAAAATGGCGGGTAGTTCATTGTCAAACGAATGAAATATTATTATATATTATAAAAAATGTGACATAAAATATAATATTTATATATTTATATATATAAATATATAATAATTATTGACACGTATAGTCATTTTTCATCATTTATTAAGTGTTATAAATCAATATAATTGAAAGAATGATATAAACATATGTGATTGCATCTATATTAATTATATATAAATATTATATTACAAATATGAGTTCGAGTAAGAGAAAAACTATTGAAATTAATTCGAACGAAGAAATCAGCCCTAAAAATCGTCGTAGTTCGTTAACAGTTAATTTAAGTTTTACAAACTTCACAGATTCAGGTAATGGTTCTCTCAGAAAAACACACATTAAGAGTAATGAATCGTCTGTTCAAATACAACCTTCTAGTAACTTATTAAGAGATAATAAAAAATCTGGCAAGAATAAACAATCTGATAAAAGCTTTGCTGAGAAATCTATTGTAAATAAAACAAATAATGTAAGTTCTTGCAAAGATCAATTGTTAAAGAATGTCAGTGTGCGTGTCATTGATATAAAACATATTAAACAAACTGATGCAAGTTTTCAAGATCTAAGAGATGCAATATTAACTAAAACTAGAGAAATATTTAATAAACAAGATGAATGTGCTATAAAGACTACTTTAGTTCTAGAAAATCAGAATAATCAATTATTAAATACTTATTCCAAGAATATTGAAAATCAACAACAACTTTCAAAAAATGGGATTACTAATTTACAGACCGATACTCAGAATAATATGGTTAGTATTTTCTCTACGCCTGTTAAAAATTGCAATGATAATGAATCTATAAATAAACCAAAAAATTCAAAAAGAAGACTGTTCATGCATAATGATATTGATTATCCTCCAATCGTTGAGACTGCAATGAAAGAAAATCATGACACAGAAAATAATTTGCGACAGTTATCTCCTAGAAATTTAAATTATAAAAATAGTCCTATAATAACTGGTAGTCATAGAAGACATCATAAATCAAGACTTTCATTAAAATATCTTTCTAAAAATAGAACAAAATGTGATGCAGATGATCCGAGTCAAAAATCTGTATCGAGTTTAAGTATTTTAAGTAATGAAATTGAATCCCTTGATACACCAATATTATGTTCCACGTTTAACGAGGAATTGTGTGGAAATGATAAGAAATTTATTGAAGAACATGGTATTAATAATGAAAGACGTAAAAAAAGCGCAACAGTTGTATCCATGAAATTAACAACTGTTCAAAATCATAGTTTGGAACATTATAATACTTGTAATGAAAAAGTAGATGCAATAAATGCGATTAATAGTAATCAAATTAGCAATAAAAAAAAATCTGAAATTCAAAACACAAAAGAAAAAATAAATCAAACAAATTCAATATCAGATAAAGAATCTTTAATGAATCATAAAACTATATTGATAACGTCAAATACATTACTCCAATCAAGTCAGTTTATTACTGAAAGAAATGAAAGTATTAAAACCACAGTTAACAATGAAAATAACGTAAAAGAACTTGACTCATCTTTACATGTAAATACATCTATGGATAATGCAAATGAACAGGAAAATGTAACTCAAGTTCATGGTTCGTTACAAGTGAATACATCTTTAAATTCTACATATAAACATAGGCAATCTCACAACAAAGAACAATCAGAACAGCGAAGTACAAGAAAATCAGAAAGACATTCACGACACAATAATGAAATAACAAATGAAAACAATGATAGCTCAAATTATATTCAATGTACACCTTATAATGTATTTCAATCTAATTTTCCGAAATCTCTATCACAAATGGATACAGTAATACATAATACAAAACTTAAGGATTCTTCTAAGGTGATTGAAACATTAAATAAGAACAATATAAATAAAATAGATGAAACTGTTCTTAGTCAAAAAACAGAACCATGCGCGTAAGTATATTAAACCATTGTTAAATATTTGTATACATAATAATTCATTTGTGTAAATAAATTATTGTAACATCTTTTATTTTTCAGATGTAAAATTCATACAACAATTCTGTGTACCAAAAACAGAAAAGACATTTTACGTAGTACAGTTATTTTAGATGATTCACCTTTTATTGCTTCGAATAAAGAGAAATGCAAGGAAGTAATTATAGATGAATCTCTTAGTCAGCAGGTAACTGACAAAGACAAAATAAAAAATAACAGTTTAAAAAATATAAATGTTATACCCCGTAATATAAAGAAAAAAAAATTATTGCCACTTTGTGAAGACTCTAGATTATCGTTTACTCCAATGGAAAAATCTTCAACACCTACGCCATTGATAATAAAGAAAAAAAAACAATTTAAAAAGAAAAAAACAATGAAACAGAATTTATGGACGATTTGCAATGTCCCAAACGAGGTAGAAAAAAGTAATAACGATTTGTCAGAAAATAATTTTTCTTTCGATCTAAAAAAGAAAAAAGGACGTAAAAATCCTAGAAAAGTGGTTAGTAAGAAAATTGTAATTAAAAAAAGGGCTGATAGTGATATACTGAAAAAATTAGAACATTTGTATAAACGTTCCGATCAGGAAACTGAAATCATTGAAAATGAAAATTCTATGAATGAATTTCAAATTAAAAAAGGATCTTCTTCTCGAAGACCGTTTCATAAATCTACAAAAATTGTTATGGTTATAACAGGATTTTCAAAAGGGTAACTTAGCAATATTTTTCTAATTTATACCTTGATCTTTTCTGCATAGAATAATGTTTTATTAAGTGTTAAATTAAATTATTTTTCAGAGACAAACATTTAATTAAAAACATCGTAAAATCTCTTGGCATGGCAAGTATAGAACAAAACGTTACACGTAGAACAACTCACGTAGTGAGCACAGGAGTGCGTACAATAAATTTATTGCATGGTATAATAAGAGGTTGCTGGCTCGTAAAACTTGAATGGGTTTTGAAATCTTTAGAAAATAATGGATGGTTGAATCCAGAAGATTATGAAATGATGCATTACTCAAAGGCAGTCAAAGTAAGAATTATACTACAATTTGTAAACAATATGTAAATGGTTTTTAATAGAAAAATATATAAATATATTTTTGTTTTATTATAGGAAAATCGCAAAGATCGAGAATTATTTGGAATGGCTTATGTACCAGATTTGTTTGCTACTTCTGGTTTCTTACACGTTGAAAATGGTACTACACCTTCTGCTCAGGTTTTAAAGGAACTTATCAAAGCTGCCGGTGGTAGAATAACTGAATATCCGCAAGCTGCAAAAATTATTATTGGTGCAAATGGTGTTAAAGAAAGCTGGATCTTGGATTCGATTACTACCGGTGTTTTACAATTGACAGCGCAATATCAAAGGAAGTAGTATAGTATTATTTACTTATTCTATTTTCTTGGTTTTTTTTTTTCACAAATTATGTTTAATTGCCATAGGCAATGGTAAAAATTTTGTTTATGTGGATGTAAATTATTTAATTAATATATACAAACATTGTTGGTTGCTTCCCATATATCAATATAATATCCATGAAAACAATTTTATACTACACTCAAATAGGTGTATATTTTGTGTATATAATATATTTATTTTCTTTCATATGATGTCAAGGATTACTTTCACTATGATGATGTGCTTAACCTTTTATATTATATATGAATGCTAATAAAAGGTGTTCACCCAGAATATAAAAATATCTACAACATTAAACACGTTCCAGATTAACAGCTTTAACGTAAATAAAATAATTACTGTATTAAAAAATGCATCTAAAGGCATGTGTATACAAATATATGACAGATATACGTAACAAGACACAATATTTCAACCAATCAGAAACTAGGAATAGTCAAATGACATGACTAGCCATTGTGTATCTTTTTATCGCAAAATAAAATTACGCCTTAACGTTCGACTTTTATATTACATTACATCAAAGCGCATGTTTAGATCCTACGTCTAGAATTTACCATACGATGTGTCAAACTCGTAGGTGTTTGTTTAATATGTTTCTTCAAATTTGTTTAGTGATATTCTAATCTTAATTGTTCGCACAACAATGGAAATTATAGCAAAGTAAGTATCTATAAAAATTGTACTGAAAATTATTCTCTTTTTTCTTTATTATAAATATATCTCAATTCGATTAGTATATCCTTTTGTTTTCTTTAGTGACGTTTTTAAATTCTTTTAAATTTTACTGATTAAACTTTCGTATTTATTTCATAATTCAGATAACATTACTTATCTTCACGATTATAAACGTCTTTATCCTATTATTTGTTATAAACTAGTAATTATTGTTCGTATTTGTATCTTCTTTTATTAAAATAGATTTAATTGCATATTGTTTATTATATAAATATAATGCATGATACATATGTTTCTATTAGAAATTAATGTATTCGTATTTATGCACATTGGAGGATAAATTTTTTCTTTTCTTTTTTACAGTGAAAGCATACCTCACTCAACTTATCAACCTCCATCACCAGATTTATGCATACCAATTCACAAATCCAATACTACTATTATAACAGATTTATATGCTGGAATACCTGAA